GGGATCATGTCGTTGGTCTCCACCAGGTCCACCGCGGTCCTCGGCGCGTCCGCGGCCGCCGTGTCGATCGCCGTGCGCTGGGAAGAGCCTGCCATCAAGCTCTGGCCGATGGGCGTTCGCCAGCACTTCTTGGGGCTGCAGCGCTTCCAAGAAACTGTCATAGAAGTGAGCCAAAACGGCTAAAGCTGCAATCGTGAGTGCGGACATGTACTTGCTTCTACAGAAACTCTGCACTTACACGATCTCCCCCTCCTCGTCCCCCATCCCCCTCCTCGCCCCCCTTCTCCTCCTACGCATTAGCCTCACCCTCTCCTTGCTCCTCCTCCTCCTCATCATCCTCATAATCCTCATCCTCATCCTCATCCTCCTTCTCTCCCGACCCCTCCCGATCCCATCTCCCTCCTCGCCGCCCTTCTCTTCTCTTCCGTTCCTCCGATCCCTCCTCTGCAGGTCCACGCCGAACTTCGAACCTGGGCCTCGCACTTATCGATCCGAGGTCCGCAGACAACACGGATTCCCCCCGAATCCCCTCTTCATAACGGTTCCCCAAACAATGCTTGCACTTAGGGATTGTTTTTTGATGTAAGAATGAACAAAAACATATATTCTGATATGTGGTAACCCGATGGTGGTCGCACTGGGTGTTTACCATATGTACTTACATAGCAGATCCCGTTTGATTTTATGATAATATGTTAGATCCCGGAGCTCTTACAAGTTATATTTAACATGCATTTACATAGCATATCCCCTGTTGGGATCTACGGATCCTCTGGGTTGAGTTTCTTGACGAGAACATGGCAGTCTACTTCGAGATGCTAAAGTCTGAGTTCACGGACAGCCAAGGGGGCCGTCGCCTCACTTCCCAGATGCTGGACTGCTTCGTCGCCAACCAGAAGCGCAAGGACAATATTGAATTCCACTGGGGGAAGTTATCCCCTTCGGAGAAGGTCGAGTTCCAGGCTGCCATGACGAAGGGGGGTGACGAACTGGTAGCAGTACAAGGGGCTGCGGCCGTTGCCCGCCTCGGAGGTGAAGGACCCTGCGGATGTGATCAGGCGCCGCTGGGTGCTGACGCGGAAGGCCGACGGAACCGCGAAGGCCCGCCTGGTCCTCCTCGGCTACCAGACCAAGGACATCGGGAAGGAGCCGACACCTCACCGACGGCGCCCAGACGCGCCTTGACCTGACGTGACCAGTGCCTTCCCCCAGGCCTACGACCCCAAGAAGGACCTGTTCGTCGAGGCCGACGAGGCTCTTTCCACGGCCTTCGGCGTTCAACCGGGTGAAGTTCTCGGATAATGAAGCCAGGCTATGGCATCGGAAGGGGCTCCAAGAAAGTGGTGGCTCACGGTCAAGTCGGACTTCGCTAAGCTGGGTCTACAGTCTTGCGACCTCGAGCCATGCCTCTGGTGTCTGCGATGCCCTTCGACGAGGGAGCTTATCGGGCTGGTCATGTGCCACGTGGACGATTTTATTATCTGCGGCGCTCGATCGAGGACATCCATCCTGGAAGTCGGCCATGGAGGTGATCAAGGAGTTCTACGCATGGGGCACCTGGGAGGACATGGAGGACGGCACTAACTCCATCGAACACTGCGGCGCCAGGATCGAGGCCAACGAGAAGGGATTCTTTCAGCACCAGCGGTCCTGCATCGACGAGCACAGGGAGATCTCCCCCAGGTGCCATAACGCGCGCTCCAGCGACAAGCTGACCGAGGCTATCCAGAGTACCCTTCGGACATGGTGTGGTGCACTGTGATGGCTCGGCGTGAATGCCCTCTCCTGGGTGTCAGCCTGGGTTGCGGATGTGCAGAGCAGCATTCCTGTCGGCGACGACAAGCTCTTCCACGCCGCGAACAACATTACCAAGATACTCAAGGCCAAATGAATGACGGGATTCAGATATTTCGTCACGCTTTATCTGGATGCCAGAACGGGCCTCCTGATTTCCGTGTGTATACCTGGTGCGACGCTGCCTTGGCGAGCCGACCGGACGGCCATTCCCTGGGCGGTCACGCAACAGCACTTAGCTCAGCCGGGACCCCGTTCCACGACGTGACCAACTTTACCGTTCTGGACTGGGGGTCGCGCAAGCTAAACAGAGTCGCCCTTCTAGCCTCGCTGCCGAGATCCAGGAGGCCAGCGACGCCGAGGGCGAGCAGATCATGGTAAGGCTGGTCCTCTACGAGCGGCTCTTCGGACCCTTCGACCTCTACAACCGCCAACGGGCCCTGCTGGAAGTGCCAGCTACCCTCGTGACGGACTGCAAGGCCTTCTACGACAGAGTTGTGAAGTCAGAGTCGGCCGGTCTCGGTCTGGACGAGAGGAGGACGGCTATCGAAGCCCTCTCTCTACGACGTGCTCTCGAAGAAGGTGGTGCGTCAGTGCGCTGGGTGCACAGCCATGCCCAACTCGCCGACGGCATGACCAAGGCCGATCTGCAGGCGTTCAACGTGCTCCATGCCTTCCTAGAGCACCAGCGATGGAATATCGTTCATGCTGAGCGTTTCCTTTCTGCGAGGAAGAGGTCAGCGCTCGGGAAAGGAATCTTTGACGAGACGAACGAGACGGACCACTCCCAGGCCAAGGAGATCCTGGAGAGCAGGAAGCGGGACCGCTCCTCCAACAAGCAGTTGGCATTTGGAGGTGCCGAGACGAACATGCTGGAGCTGATCTCTTTTCCCCTGTTTGATTGTGATGGAGATTCAGTGAGGGTTTCAGCTCAGCATGCCGCCTTGCCCGCAGCCTGTATGGCTCGGTTGCGGGAGGGCGGGATTATATACGACAGGGCGGATCACGCCCCTAGCCGGGGCGCCAGGCCGCCTCTCGTGAGCAGGAGCATCAGGTGCTCCCATCGCTGAGCAAAAGGGTCGACGACGTGACGGGCCGAGGGAAGCCCGTGGATTCAGACTCTTGGGGCGTCTTCGGGGCTCTTGGGCCGTCTTGAAGCCATCTTGCGCCCTCTTTGAGCGCTCGTGGGCCGTCTTGTGGACCTCTTGGACCTCTCCGGCGCCATCTTGGAGGTATCTTAGGCGCTCTTCGGGCTGTTTAGGGCCGTTTTGGGTGCTTCTTCGGCGCTCATGGGGCTGACTTGGGCAGTCTTGGGCCGAAAATTTGGGCAGTAGATCTGGGGCTCGTCCTGCCTATCCCCCCACACCCGCCCTGTCATTTCTCCCAACTGCCGGCTCGCGACGCAAGCGCGCTTGTCGTCATTCCCGAGGCCCTGGGGAAGAAAGAGTACAGTCCATCGGTGTTCCAGCTACGCGATCGGAAAAAACACATCCGGCCTCGGAGACCATCCAGAAACAGTGAGAAAGAGGCAGAGAGAGAGAGAGAGAGAGAGAGAGAGAGAGAAAAAAAGAGAGAGCGAGATCCCCCCGACGACAGTGTATTCGCGGGAGCGGCGGCGCGTGCCGCCGCAGCTCGTGTTCGGACCACGGGGCGGGCCGACCAAAAGAAGAGCAGGCCAGAGCCGACCAGGGAGCCTGCGGAGCCGACCGGGGAGGGGAGCCGACCGGGGAGCCTGCGGAGCCGACCGGCGAGCCTTCGGAGCCGACCGGGGAGGGGAGCCGACCGGGGAGGTGAGGTTCAAGAAGGCGCCCCAGATCTCCGACGATGCGTGTGTTCCAGTGCGGGAGGAGCTCCGTTCATGGCGGCTCCGGTCGGCTGCTGCCAAAGATTCGGCTGGGCGCGAGAGAGACCTCTCGCCAGAGTGACCTCTGGTGCGGGCCCAAGAGGGCCCCCCGAAAGCTGACAGCGGAGCGGTAGCAGCGGCTCGCGCGCCCAGGTTTGGTCACCCCGCGTCCCCTGTTAAGCCGCGCACCAAAGGTCATTTTTGCGTGTAGCCTTATGATGCTCCAACCTACTTCAGTTTGGATCACCAGGACGAATTTCGAGCGCCCAAAACAGTAGCGACACTGAAGGGTTTTCACGCGTCGGGCCCTGGGAGACACTCGCCCGACACTGTTTCGACACTCTTTTGACACTTTTCCGGGTGCGCGAAATTATTCCTGGGATGTGGTGCTTTGGGAACAATATAAGTGTAGCCGAGAGGTATCCCTGGCCCAAGGTGCCCCCTGGACTTCCAAGGAGGCCTCCACGGCCTCCAGAGCACCCCCTCACGAGGCCGAGGGGCTCAGGGGCTCCAACATGAAGGCAGCGAAGAGCTGGGGGCGCCTTGGGCCAGGGGCACCTCTGGCAACTCCCGATCCTGCTGGCCGTTTCTGTCCGGACCCTGGGGCCCTCCACAACGGGCGCGGGGTGGAGATCTACCCCCCGGGAAGGGGTCGGGAGCTCCAGGGCCGCGCGGAGGCCCCTGCCCTGAGCCACGTCCGCCGGTCAGGAGGAAGAAGCAGTGCCGCCACCGCTGCCATTTTGGCTCAAGCCTTTTGTGTTTTCACGCCTCGAGTTGTGTCGAAGCTTGCCGGCCCCTGCGTGAAGAATCATTCTCATCTGAGCGGGCCCACCACAGCTCTGTCATGGCGGCGGTAGCGATATGTGCATCGATTATGGCCGTAGTTTCTTGGCGTGGAGATGCGGTGAATTGCAAAACTGATGGTACCGATTATTCGTACACGGAATCAGTCTCTGGTTCCAGGCGCACGGTGGTGACCAATCATTGTCCAAACCACCCTTTTTACGATTTGAATCCGAATACGGCAGTGAAGGAGCAGAGGACATACACGATTCCGGCGATCCCTAGATATGTGGGCGCGTACACAGATTCTTCCACTTCCTCAGCGCACATCGACCTCTCATCGGTGGGTGGCGAAGTCGGCGTGTTCTTCAATGCGGCCATGTTGTTTTCCCCCTACGGTGGCCCTATGTATGGTACCACAACGGGTTGGACCACCTCGGCTACATATGCGGAGGGTTCCACATTTGACCCGTGCGGATGTCATGGATCGAAGTCGGATGAGCCATCGTACCACTGCCATGTGCCACCCAGTTGTTTGTTGAAGCAGTTGGGTCAGACGTCTTCGGCCCACTCCCCCCAGATCGGTTGGGCGCTCGACGGTTTCCCGGTCTATGGCCCGCGCGGTCCTTCTGGCACGATGATGCAGACGTGCACTGAGACGGGAGGGACCTACGGGACAGACGTGTGCACAGACGATTGTGGCGGATACTATCAGGCTGACGGCTCCATTGACGAGTTCGTGTACAGGTACTACACGCTTGGCCAGTACAACGATGGCACCAGCTGTGTCGCACCCGGCTGCTCGTCACCCACGTCTGAGTTCTTTCCCAACACGATGATGTGCTACCGGGGCTGCTGCCCCAGTGGAGTTTCGTGCCACAGCGCGATCACGAGTTGCCCAGGCTCGGGCACCTTGGACGGGGTCACGAGCGATTACGCGGCCTCCGTGCCCACTGTCAACGGCTTGTCTGTGGCCTCGGGGCTCCCGCTGAACACCGCGGCCTGCGACGACGACGACATCGCGTGCGGCTCCTGCTCGGAGTGCGAGTGGCGCCAGAACAAGTGCGGCATCCAAGGCCCGAGCACGGGCTCGTGCACGGGCATGGCAGCCACGCCCGCGCCCCCTGCGCCGACGCTGGCGCCGCCGACGCCCGCGCCGCCGCCGACGCCCGCGCCGCCGCCCACGCCCGCGCCGCCGCCCACGCCCGCGCCGCCGCCCACGCCCGCGCCGACTGCGGCGCCGGCACCCGCGCCCACGCCTAATGAGAACCAGGCCTCGGGAGCGCCGGCTTGGCCGAGCCGCTGGCGAGGGGCCCTGGCGCTGGCCGCCGTCGCGGCGTCGCCGTGAGGGTGCTGGGCCGCCCGTGGCGCGCGCGCGCGTGCGCGAGTGTGCACTCCACACGCGCGCACGAGCGCGGGCGCGGGTGCACGGCAGCCCACGGTCACGACTAGGGGAACAAAAAGTGGCATAAACATAAAAACTCAAAGGTCCGCGCGGATTTCTTGGATCGGCGCTGGGGCCCCCCTGCGGCGCCTCCGGCGCCGCCCCTGGCGCGCTCCGCGCGCCAGGGAGGGGGGTCCAGCGCCGATCCGAGAAATCCGCGCGGACCTCCGAGTTTTTATGTTTATGTCATTTTCCTTCTCCTAACGACTCAATGATCTTCACCAGCGTTGGCGGGGTTACCGTTGTCATCGAGCGTGTGGCCAGGAGTGCTGAGATCCAGTCTTTCAAATCGTCGGAGGTAACTATGCCAGGCCACCGCAGCTGTGGGACACGGGGATCATCAAGAGAGAGACCCCAGAGGGGTTTACTATACGCAAGGTGCTCGTATTCAGGACCACGTCGTGCAACGCCGCAGCCTCGAGGTCACACTCTTGTGGCACACTCTTCTTTTGCCTGACCTCTCCGCGCGACCGTGATTCGGCAAAGCAGCAACCCGACAAGGGGGTTGTAACATGTTCATTGCTCGGGCATGGTTCCGCGTATGTTGCCATACGCTTCTGTTCCGCGTATGTTGCCATACGCTCACTGCACAACAACCGCCAGGGTGAGGTTTTGTTCCCTGCCCAGGCTCTGCCTAGAAGGGCCGGGCAGTGGGGCTCGCCCCAGGCGGTTCCCCCAGGATCCGCTCCGCGGTTCCCCCAGTTATGTCCCCTTAGCTTAGCGTCGCTTATCTCATCTTAGCTTAGCTTAGTTCATCTTAGCTGAGCTTCGCTTCATCTTAGCTCAGTTATAATGTCTTATCTTAGCTGACCTTCATCTTAGCTTCGTTGAGCTTTAGCATAGCAGAGCACAGCATAGCATCGCATAGCGTAGCATAGCATAGCGCAGCACAGCATATCATGGCATAGCCCAGCATAACATAGCATAGCGCAGCATAGCATAGCATAGCATAGCGCAACAGAGCACAGCACAGCATAGCACAGCGCAGCATAGCATAGCATAGCTGCCACCTGCTCCTCCTCGTCATCCTCACCGTCATCCAGCTCCTGGTCCTCCTGCCCCGGATCTGTGGGTGTATTTTGTGGCGCTCGTGTGTGCCAACCGCGTTGCCAGTTTAGTTTTCTGTTCGGGTAATAGAGCATGGGTGATATTCCCTACCTAGGCTCTGCCTAGAGGATTAGCTTAGTTTAGCTTAGCTTAGCATAGCGCAGCGCTGCATTAGCATAGAATGGCATAACATAACATAGCCAAGCACACCATAGCCTAGCATAGCATACCATAGCATAGCGCATCATAACATAGCATATCATATCATATTATATTATATCATATCATAGCATATCATTTCATAGCGTAACGCAGCTTAGCATATCATAGCCTATCATAGCATAGTTTAACATAGCACAGCGCAGCATGACATATCATAGCTGATCATAGCATAGCATAGCATAGCATATCACATCATATCATAACGTAGCATAGCATATCATAGCATATCACAGCATATTATAGCATAGCATAGCATAACATGTCATAGCATAGCATAGCATAGCATAGCAACTAATGCTGCGTTCCTAGGGGCTCCAACTTCTGGGTAGGGTTGCACTGGGGCAATGTTGGAATAAGAGACGTTGCCGCTCTTGTTGTCGCTCGTCACTTGCAGGCCCCAGGCCATTCCTGATTTCACCACGTCGAGGGATTATTGCACATATGCTTTTCCAGCATGCCCGACCGCCCTCCAGGGTCCCGGGCGCGGGCGACCCCCGCACCGCTGCTTCCCTTCCCTTCCCTTCATCGTGGTGGGACCGCAACACGCTTCTCTTCATCGTGGTGGGACCGCAGCCGTCTGGCTGCGACGGCACCAACGACTCGGTTGCGACGGCACCCGCGGCGATTCGATGGTTGATACGGTTGTGACAGGTTGTGTGATGTTGCTCGCAGCAAGAAAGCACATGAAGGCAGCGAAGAGCTGAGGGCGCCTTGGGCCAGGGGCACCTCTGGCAACTCCCGATCCTGCTGGCCGTTTCTGTCCGGGCCCTGGGGCCCTCCACAACGGGCGCGGGGTGGAGATCTACCCCCCGGGAAGGGGTCGGGAGCTGCAGGGCCGCGCGGAGGCCCCTGCCCTGAGCCACGTCCGCCGGTCAGGAGGAAGAAGCAGCGCCGCCACCGCCGCCTTCCCTCGTTCTCGCCCCGCTGGGCCCCCCGCCACGGCTGGACTCGCCTCGACATGCTGGTTGGAGGGCGCTGCGGGAGGGGTCCGAAGAACACGTGGCGGCATCGGCACAGATTGGCGTGCCCCCCCCCCCCTTTGGCGGCTGGGCGCGCGCCTGAGCGGGTCTCGATAATATCGCGCGCGGTGCGCCCCCTTCAAGAGTGGGCAGCGCAACGATGGGGGCGTCAGGGGTGCCGTTGGGGGGGTGGGGGGGGGACAGGCTCAGGGGCCCCAATCGCCCATTCGTGGCCGATGGAGGCCCGACAGCCCACCCGTCCCGGGAGCGCGCGGATTCGCTGTCGGTGGCGTGTCGCCGATCTATCGGCGATGTATCGCCGATTCAAGCCTGGTGCTTCCCCCCTCGGAGCTGGTCCCCCCCAACGCTCCCCCTCCCTCCTCCCAGCTGGGCGCACGCATGCGCGGGCCTCGATTTGCGCTCGGCGCGCCTCTCTCAAAATTGGGAGGGCTTTAGACCGATGGTCCAGGGGTGAGCTCCGAGAGCTACCACATGCGACCCGAGGGGGAGGGGAAAGGGAGAACGAGGCTCGAGGAGGAAGAAGATATATCGGGCGATCGCAAACATGGATCAATGGGGCGTGGATTAGCGACGGTTCCCATTGTCATTGGAAATCGCGGATTTCCGCCGCCGAACGAGGTGGCACCGGCCGCATTTTGGGGAGAGCACCTTCCCCGATCCATGGATTTGGCGACTGCGCGCCAAATCCATGGATCGCTAGTCCATGTGTGCGCGCCCCCGAATATGGGGGAGGAGGTTCGAGGTTTCAGGAGGAGGGGGAGGTGGGGCCCCGAGGGGAGGAGCCGGAGGAGGAGGGGCCGAGGTTGGAGCAGAGGAGGGTTCTAGGGGGGCCGAGGTTTGTTGGGAGGCTTCCGTTCTTCTCGCCCCCACGGCTGGATCCGCCTCGACATGCTGATTGAACGCGCCCCGAGGAGAGGAGGTCCGAGGGGTGAAGATTGGGCAGACCTCTCAGACCTGAAAGCCGAGGGGTCCAGGCATCCAACGCCGTGGTGCTCTCGATGCGGGCGACTTCTGTTCCCTGGGTTTCGGCCTCCCGTGACCGCCTTCGGGCTGGCGGGTTGTCAAAATGTGATCACAGGAGGAGGCGGCAGCAAAGCAGACGGAGGAGGAGGAGGAGGAGGAGGAGGAGGGGGAGGAGAAGGAAGAGGAGGAGGAGAAGGCGGAGGAGGAGGAGCAGGGGGAGGAGGAGGAAAAGGAGGAGGAGGAGACAGAGGACGAGGTGGTAGCATAGCAGGAGGAGGCCGCAGAGGAAGGTCGCCATCCTGGGTCTGGCGGAGGGTCTCACGTAATTGAAGGGTGTTCTTGTGGCCTGGGTCCCGACTGTATACCACCCCCGCGCACGCATCTCCCATCTCCGGGAACTCCACGTCAGCCCGCGGGTGCGCGACCGCGGGGCGCCACCCGCCTCCTGTGGGACCCCCCCCCGTGGCCCCACGGGCAGCCCCGCCGCAGGCCCCGAACCGCTTCGGCACACCCCTCGCACGCGTCGCGGCCTCGCAGGGCGCCCCACCGAAGGCCCCCCCGCATGTCCGAGCCCGCGGGGCGGCGCCGTCCCCTGCCGGCACGCTGCGCTCGCACGCTGCGCCGTTTGATGACTGGGGAGCTCCGCCCGAGCCCCGGGTGCCTTGGGCCGTGCGTCGCCACCGCCCACGTGTCGGGGCACTTGCGGGCGGTTGTTCTTCCTCGAGCCCCAGGCTCCGCCCGAACAGGTGGGCCGCCCATAGAAAGGAGGGATTGTCGGGGATGCCCCCCAAGGAGGCTATTCGGACGCACCCTTGTCGCGGATGACCCCCCCCCCAAATCGTACATCCCAGGGTTGGGCCCCACATGGTGACCGTCTTTTATACATTGTTTTGCCGATCGGCGCGAGCCCTGGCCCCCTCCTCCACCCCTCCCCTCCCCATGGAGTAGATCTTGGCTGTTTTTGGCGGCCGTTTCGAGCAGGTGGGAACCCTCCCCCACAGGACGCGCTGTTGCAAGCAGTCGCGCTAAGCAGAGGTCCAGAGCCAGACCCCCCCCTCTCCCCCCTTCCGCCCAATGTCGAAACGCCGAATAAGAAAACGCTCACACGTCTGGTCGAAAACCTTCCAAAGCCTGGGATAGGGGTCGAGGGGTCGACATGTACCCCTTGTTGCCTCACACGCCTCGCGGCCTCCATCCACACCGTCCAATGGTCAATCAGTGACGAAGCGTCCTGGCTCGCCTATAGCCCTACCAAACAATGTTCTAAGAACCGTTTGTGATTTCCACGAAATGTTCTTAGAACCTGTCTGGCGGGGACTGTCTTGGTTTAACACATCGGGTTTTTGTTCTAAGAACATTGCTTTTGTTCTTAGAACATTTGTGGGTTCTAAGAACATTTCGTGGCA